TGTCCTAGCAAGCTTGGTGTTCCCCGGCAGAGGCTGCGTGTCCCTGCGGGCCTCCCAGGGATGTCCCCTTTTTCCACCACAGCCTGTAGAAGTGAGAGGAGGGAGGGAGACTCCAGCAGGTGAGCGTGCTCATTGCTCCTCACGGTCACCTTCAGGCCATGCTCCCCCTCTCCTCCCTAAAGGACATTCATTATCTCACCTCAGCGCAGACATCTGTCAACCCTGGGGTCACACCCTTCCATCCTGCAGGGATGTACCCTGGACTCAATGTCACTCTCAACAGTTCCTTCCTGCTTTGGTTGTGGGTCATCTCAATAGTCACATAGACAGTGCTGCCGTCCCCTTGGCCTCTGGTCCCCTTGACCTGCTCTCCTCTACTGATCTTGTCCCCCAGCCCATCTTGGCCACTCATTTTCATGGTCATTACCAATCCCTGCTGCCCCTTCCTAAACCAACATCTCAATCTCATGCTCCCCCCATCCCTGACCAGCAGCACGAAGTATCAGCCCCTACCTGGACTTGAGCCACCCCTTCCCCTCCAGGGACCCCTGACCCACGGCTCCCATCACCTCTATGCAGCCCCTCAGCCCCTTGCACCTTTCTCATTTCCACGGTGCAGCAGCTTCAGTGGTATGCTCCATCGCGGTAAGAGGACCCCTAGTGTGCCGACACGGCCGCTCACTCCCTTCTCCTCCTTCCCTCGGCTTCCTGGACTGCCCGCCTTGGTGTTCAGACATCTCCCTGCTCCCTGCTTCTTCTCTGCTGGCTGTCCCCTTCTCCCATCCCCAGGCTTTGATGCTCAGTCCACAATCTCTTCTCAATATATACTCAGCCCATCCATGGTCCTACATAGTCTCATGATTTTAAATACCATCTCAATGCCAAAGAGTCCCAAATGTATACCTCCAGCCCAGATCTCTCCTAAATTCCAGGCTCATTTTTCTAAGAACCTCAATACCTCCACTTGGATATGTAATAAACATCTCAAACTCAGGCCTAAGGCTGACTATCTAATCATGACCCCAAAGCCTTCCACCCTCAGCCTTCTCCATTCCAGCTAATGGCAACTCTGTCCTTTCAGCCATAAATGCTGGAATCATCTTTGACGATCCTTTCTCTCATGACCAATGTCTAATCTATCAGGAAATCCCCTTGGATCTACTTCCAAAATACAATCAAATTTTGACGTTTTCTGCCCCCACTGATGCCACCACCTTGGTCTCAGCTGCCAGTGTTTTTCAGCACTTTGATCCCTGCTTCCACATCAGCCCCTTGCTTGCACCCCCACTGAGAGTCTGTTCTCCAAAGAGCATCTGCAGTGATCCTATTAACCCGTAAGTCGGATTCTATCACTCCTCTGATCAAAACCTTCCAGCGGCTCCTCTCAGAGTAAAAGCCAAAGTCCTCACAATGACCCAAAGGCCCACATTACCCCTGATCATTACGTTCCCTCGCCGCCCCCGTTTCCCCTTGCTCACTCCACTCTGGCCACACCAGCCTCCTCGCTGTTCCCTGAATATGCCTGTGACTCTCCCACCTGTGGCCTTCGCATGCTGTGCTCCCTCTGTAATAATCATCCCAGAGCTATCAGCAATACCTGTTCCCTTTCCTCCCTCACACCTCTTTCAACAAGTCTAAACTGTCCTCTCTATTTAATTCTGCCACTTGCTCCCTGTCTTTTCTCGGGCCCCCAATGCCCTTTACCCTGCTTAACTTTTTCTTCTTTCCATAGTACTGATCACCTTCTAATGTACTAGAAAACTTGCTTAGATATTGTCTGCCCTTCCTGTCAGAATGTAAACTGCAAGAGAGTAGAGATCATTGTGTGGTCACTGATGTATCTCAAGTACCTAGAACAGTGCCAGACACATGCTAGGTGCTCAGTAAGTATCTATTGATCGAGTGAATGCACTATTAGAGATGATGGTAAACACATTCCCTGTGTGCACAGTGTGGACTCTGCATTGGGTGGGGTGGATGGGATGGTGAAAACAGACAAAGTAACAGGGAGGTAAGACCCTGCAGAAAATAGCTCCTGCCATTCCTCCAGCCTGATTTCCCTTCCCTCTTCCTCCCAATTCCCACAATATCCCAGCCTTACTGGCTGTGTTTTTAATTCCCTGGGCTCTCCAAGCACCTTCCCACCTCAGGACTTCTGCATAAACTGTTCTCTCTGCCCAGACCATTCTTCCCACCCTCACTTAGCTAATTCCTACTCTGTTTTTTAGGTCTTAGTTTAAATGACATTTTTATTGAATCTCAGACCTGGCACAGAGTAAGTACCCATTACAGATTTCTGTTCCAATATACGTTTAAAAAAATACTATTATTTCCTCATTTTACAGGTGAGAAAACTAAAGCCCTGAGAGGCTGCAATTTTTGCCCAAAGACCTAACGCTTATAACTATTTGTAGAAATAATAAACATACTGATAAAATAATCAAAGTTGAGTTTGAAAGCACTGGGATGAAGATAAGACTTCCTATGGAAAATTTTATTCTGAGGTGATCAGGGGTACTGCCTTCAGCCATAAAATCAATCTGTTCTCCCTTCACTAACTTTCCCCTTATGATGTTGAGAGGTCTGTTTAATACAACTCTTATCCAAAGTAAGAAGTCACTCCACAGCACTTCAGTCTCAGCTATACCTCCTCTACTGGGGAACTCACTACTCAAGAATAAAAAGCTCTCCCTATCAAAGGATATAAACTGACAATTCTTAGAAGAGATGTAAATGCTCAAGACAATCCACAAAAAGATGTCTGACCTTACTAATAATGGAAGAAATACAACACAAAAAGGAGATGTGTTTAGTTTATCTGTTTAGCAGAAGTGAAAATTGGTAAGAATTTTCTGGAGGCAGTTCAATAACATACACCAAAATTTAAAATACATACTCCTTTTGACTTCTGGCAATTTACCCTGAGCAAAGAATAGCACATGTGTGTTCTTGACAGTTTTGTTTGCAAATTCTGGAAATAACCTAAATGTCCAACAATAGGGAACTGGTTAAATAAATAATGGTACACATATGCAAAGGAATATCATGTAGTAGTTAAAAATGATGCAATACCGGTATTCCTAGTTGCTTGCAAAGAAGAGGACTGGGTTGCTGGGAACTGAGTGAGAGAAAGAGAGCTTTCTCTTTTTATTTTATTTTATTTTGGTATCATTAATGTACAATTACGTGAGCAACATTATGGTTACTAGACTCCCCCCATTATCAAGTCCCCACCACAAACCCCATTACAGTCACTGTCCGTCAGCAGTGTAAGATTATATAGAATCACTACTTGTCTTTTCTGTGTTATATTGCCTTCCCCGTGCCCCCCTACATTATGTGTGCTAATCGTAATGCCCCTTCCCCCCCTTATCCCTCCCTTCCCAGCCAACCTCCCCAGTCCCTTTCCTTTTGGTAATTGTTAGCCCGTTCTTGGGTTCTGTGATTCTGCTGCTGTTTTGTTCCTTCAGTTTTTCTTTGCTCTTATACTCCACAGATGAGTGAAATCATTTGATATTTGTCTTTCTCTGCCTGGCTTATTTCACTGAGCATAATACCCTCTAGCTCCATCCATGTTGTTGCAAATGATAGGATTTGTTTTCTTCTTATGGCTGAATAATATTCCATTGTGTATATGTACCACATCTTCTTTATCCATTCATCTACTGATGGGCACTTAGGTTGGAAGAGAGCTTTTTCTTGCATCATTTTTGGTAACTTTTATTTTTTATTTTTATGAATGAATTTAATATTCAAAATAATAAACAAGATTTAAAATATTTGTTTAAAAAATGCTGTGGATCTCTATGAGTTGTTATGGGAAGATGTACACAACAGTGAGTGGAAAAAAAAATTACCAAATGGCATATAGCATACAATTTCATTTACATAAGACTGTATATTATAAAGATACAGGTGGATACAGAAGGTTATTTCTGGAATAATGCTCCAATTTGATAATGGTAGTATCTCTAGAAGAAAGAATTCAGAGATGATTTTTACTTTTTTCTACATTTCTATATTATGCAGATTGTTTATAATGAGCATGGATTTTTTTGTAACCATCAAGGAAAAATATTGTAAGGTTATTTTCTTTTCTTAAAAAAAGCTTTTCTTCTGCATGTATAGGAAAGATAATGTTTGAGAAAGACATACACCAAGGTAATAGTGGTATGGCTGCCATTTCTTTTTTCTTTTGGTTTTCCTTTCTGCATGTTTCTAGTTTATGAGTTTTCTGTAGATAATTACCTTTGTGAAGGTAAAAGGGGGCATTGCATTTTTTTAAAGGAAATTTTTCCCTAAATTTAACTGAAATTGTTCCAGCGCACAAAGGGCTATATACTACTCTACATAATTATTCATCTATTCAAAAAAATTTATATATATATACGCACTATACATATTCCATTACATGGGCTTTATTATATATGTATGTGTGTGTATACACCTACACACATTCATATACATACATATATACAAGCATATATATGACCTAGTTCTTGGCCCTTCCCCATGTCTCCATCTATACATTCTCCCAATCCTTCAAGGTCCTTCAATATTGGTAGTAGAGGGACATATGAAAGTTACTATTAACATACAGGCTTTGAAGTCAAAATTCCAAATCAGCCACCAATGTGTGATCTCAGTTAACATCCCTTATCTGCAAAAGGGAAGTCCCGCAGTATCTAAGTATCTACTTGATAATGTTGTGAGGATTAAGTCAAGCAATGCATAAGATCGCTTAGCGCAGGCTGGTATATAATAAATACTGAATGAGTCATCCTTTTTTATTTAGTCCAGGACGTAGACCGAAGTGTGTGATAACCACGGTGGTGGTGGTATTCCCCTCCGCGCCACGAGGTGCCACTTGCGAGCTGACCAGACCCGGGGACCGGAGGGCAGAAGTCCGTCTAGCACGCGACCGCCGCCATCTTAGAACACAGGTCCTCCTCACCCAGCCGATATAGCTGCTTCGTGTAGTGTAAGAGGCCGACCTGCTAGCAACGATACCCAGCGCCTCGCCTCCCTGGCGCTCCCTGAAGTAAACTGTCTTTCCGAGGCGAGTCCTAATCTTGGAAACGCTAAAGGCGGCGCCCTACGGGAGCCGGGCTCCGTGACATCAGGCGTACACTTCCGGAGCACGGAGGTGACCCGTTGCCCCGCCTTCTTCCACCCTCTCTTTCCGGTGCCGAGTTTGGAGAAGACACGGAGGTAGGAGTTCTGACGAAGACCATCGGGTGACATCCTGCGGCTGGGGGGCCACATGGAGCCGGGGGCGCGGGGACCGGAGTCTTTCTGAGGAAGCCGAGCCGGGCCAGAGGGCCGCGGCCGGCCGACCCAGACTCCAGTTCGCGCTGTTCCTCGGAAGGCGGCGGTCTTGCTTCTGGGAGGAGCCTGTGAGTGGAGCGATGCGGGGACCGGCCTGAAGGCCCCGGCTCCCGCGACGACCACCGCTACGTTTAAGCGGCCGCGCGGCGTTGTTGGGAAGGAGCACGGAATCAGGCCTAGTTTGATGTGGGCTCCCGCCTCTGCTCCGTCAGCCACAGGCCAGGTGCCTCATCTCCAGTGCGTCTGCTCCACTGGGAAACAGGAGCAATTGTCTCACCTGTCCCATGCGGTTGTAGGAAGGATTCGGGGACGGATGCCGGAAAAACGTCCTTGTGTTGGGTGATTGCTAAGGCGGGCGCCTCCTCGCAAGTTCTGGGCGCCCAGACAGGCTCCTCAAAGCCAGAACTTGGGGGTAGGGACGGCGTATCAGTGTTTGCTGAGCACTTCCCACGCGTTTGTACACTCCCGGATGACGGGGTAGGGAAAAGGCACGTTGGCATTTGTTGTGGCCACCGTTTTGGGACTTAAATTCATGCTTCCTTAGTTGAAATATGCTGGGGTCCTGGGCTTCTCCAGGCAGAACTTAAAGCTGCTCTCCTATGAATTTTCTTGGCACATTCCTTGTAATTCTTACCTCATTGGATCTAATTTGAGGATAGGAACTGGTAACTTTGTACACCCACGTCCTACACTTTTTGGTGCCTACTGTGGTCAGACACGGATTAAATATTGTAAAAAGAAGGCACTGGGGAGACCCAGGAATATGTAAGACATGGCTTTTTAAGTCCTGGGGTGGTGGTGGTTTATGGAATAGAGGCATCTTGGCATAGGGTAGAGTGCTGGGCTGGGAGCCAGGGCACTTCAGTTTTAGGTATGGTTTTGACACTGAAATTAAAGTGATGCCCTCTTTTCTTTGCTTTCTCTATCTGGAAGGATACAGCCCAATTTCATCTGAGCCCTTCTTAGTCTAGTGTATTCTGAAAGTGTTAAGAAATTCTTCTGAATTTTGAGTCTCAGAAGGGTTAGAAGGCCTGCGGCTTTAGGCAGAAAGCAGTTCTTGCCTAGCCTTTCACATTCTCATCCTCACCTACTTTCCTCCTGACTTGTCTCCCTCCCTATAGGCCCACTGACAGTGTGATTGCATTTAGGTTAAATGCTAGAGTTACTTGGTTTCACAAACACTGAATTTCTTCTAGGATGGGTCTTTTCCATTTCCCTTTGAGAGAACGTGTTTTAGTGCCTTTAATACTTGGTTCTTGTAAAAATTTAAGGATTTCGTTTTGATCAGTTGTGGAAGGATGTCAGGAGATGAATTGCCAGAGGTTGGGAGATAGTGTTTAAACTGGTTTTTTGAGAGGGATGGTGGAGCACGGGAAACTAGAGGAGTATGTTGGTTTGGGAGCCTTGAATTCTAATCTGCAGAGTTGGACACAATTCAGCAGGTAGTGGGGTTCCTCCCCACCCCCATAGAGGGTCTTCACCTCTTCCCAGTACATGGGTAGATTATTAGCTTTGGTCTTACACTAGTTTTTTTAATGTGGTCTTTCAGGCTTTTTTGAGCCTAACCTGTAAGTGGTGCTTAGGGGCCAGGAAACCCCAACACTTTCAGCATTGGAAGTACTGTGAGGTGTCGACTATGATCCTCTAACTTTGTTCTGACCTCTGCTCTGCAACTGATTATCTGTGTCACCCTGACCAAATCAAAATTTTCTCAGCTTATTTTTATTAAGGTATCATTGATAAATAATCTTAATGAAGGTTTCACATGAGCAGTATTGTGGCTATTACATTCACCCATATTATCAAGTACTCCCCACATACCCCATTATAGTCATTGTCCATCAGCATAGCAAGATTCTTAGCTTATGTTTTGAGGACAATAAGGCCCAGGGAGAATTGATTTAACCAGGTTTGCAGAGCTGTAGTTGAACATGGAGGTTTCCAGAGACCAAAGCCAGTGTGTTTCTGAGACTCACTAGTAGACATCGGAGAGGTGCTTGTGGTCTGCTGCTGGAACCTTAAGCTTCTATAGGTGCTCTAAGCTGTGCTTTTGGTAGGTTCAGAAGGGCTGCCTTTAAGGTACTTTGCTTTTTAGCCACCAGTTGAAACCCTAAGTGCAGGGAGAAATGAGTTTTAATGGGGCAGAGATTAGACAACAGTACAGTCATGGGTGGAGGAAGACAGGGACATATACTAAAACTAGGGGTTTCTTTTAGTAGCCAGGAAGAGGGTTCTGGAAATCTCTTACCTGTTCTTAACATTGGAGTTCTTTTCCTTCTTTTCAGAAATGGCACCTCGCAAGGGGAAGGAAAAGAAGGAAGAACAGGTCATCAGCCTTGGACCTCAGGTAGCTGAAGGAGAAAATGTATTTGGTGTCTGCCACATTTTTGCATCCTTCAATGACACTTTCGTCCATGTCACCGATCTTTCTGGCAAGTGAGTACCTAGGTATAGAGGTGTGAGACCAAACTGGTAAGGAGGTGGGGAATGGGGAACTGGGTGGCAATTAAAGGGGTTCTCTTGACAGAATTGAAAAGAATGGTTAGATGAGAAATGTACTTAGTTGTTTAGTCCACGTATACTGTTGGTTTTTCAGGCACTGGAGTTTTGAGGAAAGAGGTACATACTGTGCCCTTCGGCCTTGCAGTGTGGTGATCACTGAATCTTTAATCTCTTGGTACTTTGTAGGGCAATAGTGGGCTGCAAGTCAGCCCTGGGTTCTGGCTGCTGGTAGTAAGTTTTTGTGACTTAGGTGAAGTCACTGAAATTTTAAGTTTTGATTTCCTTGAATGTAAAAGGCTAATAGTGCCTACCTCATTAAGTAATTGAGGAATAAATGTGAAAGTAAATATGAAATGTTAATATAGGGCTTAGCTATTTTGAGTCTTTAGACTCCATGAAAGCAGAGACCATGACAGTCTTGTCAGAAAGGATGTGTGGTCAAGTTGACCATCACCCTCTGCCATACTTGAGCTGTGGTGCTCTTCACTCATTAGGATTTGATAAGCACTGAGAATCTTGTTGAATGAGAGAGAAGTGACCGTGTGCTTTTGTTCTCAGAGAAACTATCTGCCGTGTGACTGGTGGGATGAAGGTGAAGGCTGATCGAGATGAGTCCTCTCCATATGCTGCCATGTTGGCTGCCCAGGATGTAGCCCAGAGGTGCAAGGAGCTGGGCATCACTGCCCTCCACATCAAACTCCGGGCTACAGGAGGAAATAGGTGCAGAAGGCGGGGGCTGGGTGGGGAGGTCACCGGGCTTGGGCACCAGACCACCTGGATTTAAGGCTTGGTTTTTCTTTTGTGACTTTACAGAAGACATCTTAGATGTATACTTATTTAATAATTGGCTCCTGTTCTGCTGCTGCCTCCCCTCTCCAAATTTATTGAGCACTCACTGTATACCAGGTGCTATGTTCTAGGTACTAGAAAAGAATGATGGAAAAAAGTTTATGTAGCTTCTACCCTCCTGTGTGGTACGTAGGCTGATGGAAGAGTCAGACTTTAAACAAAATGAGCAGGAGAGCAACTGATTGCATTTTTGGCAAGTGCTAGAAAGCAAATGTGTGGTGTCAGAGATGGAGTTAGTGCTAAAGTATAATTTAAACTGAGATCTAAGTATTTGCCAGGAGTTAGTCCAGTGAAGGAAGGACAAGGGTAGAGTATTCCCATCAGAGACAGCTACAGGGAAAAAGTCTTGTGGAATTGAACTTGGCACATCTTCAGGAAGGAGTAACATGAGGGGTGGTCAGAGAGATAAAGGAGCAAGGTCCTGCTCTGTCTTGAAGGTGCAGTAAGGACTTGGACTACAGTCAGAGGGAGTGCATAAGAGCTTAAAACTTCCCAGAGTAATGACCTGTTGAAATTGGGGTTTTTTATAGGTGACTGCTATGTAGGGAACAAACCAAGTAACTGTTGAAGTGGTCCACTAGAGAGACAGTAGTATCTTGGTCTTGGGTGGGTGGGTGGAGCAGTTATAAATGACAGATCACCAAAAAAAGACGTAGAATCACAGCATGTGGCAGGAAGGAATGGTGCCTTACGTGGGCTGCAGGCACGGCAGGTTACAAACTGATCCATGGGCCAGAAAGCATGCAACAAAAACTGTTAAGTGGACTGTTAAGTCGTCTGGTACTCTTAAAATATTTACTGTCTGGCCTTTCATGGAATGTTTACAGATCTCTAAACTAGATGGTTGTGGGATCTTAGAACCCCAAATGACTTGGCTAAAGACTTTCCTTAGGGTAAACTTCATATTCTAGGACCAAGACCCCTGGACCTGGGGCCCAGTCAGCCCTGAGAGCCCTTGCCCGCTCAGGAATGAAGATAGGACGGATTGGTAAGTGCTCCCCTCTGGCTAGCACTTGGGTTTTCTTTTGAAGCATGAATCCCAGAAAGCATGTGATGTGCCCACTGGATACAGGGCCTGGTCTGAGGACTGTAGGCAGTTAGGGTTTTAATGGAGGCTGCAAGAGGTCCTATGTGACATAAAATCTCTCCTGAACACTCATGTCACTTTGATGTGAACAGTGACCTTCTCTTCTGCATTGGGACAGCACAGTTTTCATTTCTGAATCTGCCCCACACTTCCTGGTGCAGTGGTTGATGAATGATGGAAGATGAATTGTCCTCCCTTTCCACTGTTTTTCAGAGAAGTTACTGTTGGCAATTTGTGTGGCCTGTCTGCTGCATTGTAGGACCTTAAGTATCCTTGGTCCTTGCCTGCTCAGTTTGAGTAGGGCATGCCAATCACTGTGACAACCAAAAATGAATCGAGGGAGTAGGAACTTGGTTGAGAATCATAGTAGTCTGAATAAGTCTACATTTGTGTAGCATCTGTATCTTCATGCCTGTGATCTCCTGGCTCCTTGCAGCTCCTAGGAAGGAGGTGTTAGCCCTTCCCTGTTATTTCTGTGCACGGATTGGCAACATGTACTGATCCCTCAGTTTAATGGTCTAGCTCCAACCCTCTTACGAGTTTTTTTCGGAGTGTTTTTCAACCTATTGAAAGGAGATAGTCTTCACTTGCCCTGTTTTGGAGGGGTTTTCCACCTGAGAGTCAGTGGACAAGGCTTCAGAAACCTACCTGGGCATGTTGCCTGCCTCTGACTTCCAATGCAAGGTGTGTATCTTGGCTGAGCCTCACTTTTCTCATCGGAAAAGGGAGTTCAGAGGACATCAGAAATGTTGAGGAAGCAGATAGGGCAGTTCTGCCTATCCTGAGGACCCATTTGGGGAGCAGGGCAACCCAGTGTCGATTTGTTAGACCACTGGCCTAGGGAGGCCTGGACTCCTTCCAATCCAGCTGTAATCAATGATGATTTTTCTTCCTCCCCACAGAGGATGTCACCCCCATCCCCTCTGATAGTACCCGCAGGAAGGGGGGTCGCCGTGGTCGCCGTCTGTGAACAGGAGTCCTCAGATTACTTTCTGTTAATAAATTGTCTTTGTGTGAGCTATTTCGACTCCAGTTGTGTCTCTCATGTAGGGATCGTGCCTCAGGGATATTTGACTCCTTCCTCCCAGCTGCATTCATGGGACTCACAGGTGCAGTGATAAACCAGCAGGCATTTAATAGATTGCTTCAGAGAATGTAGATAAACTGCTGAACAGGAACACCAGAGGGATTGATTCAGCCCCTGACGTGGACAGGGTGAGCGAGCCTGTCTTCTGTGAAATGACTTTCCAGGAGGAGGAACCTAAGGAGAGGTGAGATGGTGGTGGTCAAGTGGGGTTTTTCCATGCTGCTCTTTGTGGCGTTAAGTTACCTCAGTCATCTAAAACAGAACAAGGTCTTGAAGACCTTATTTTGAAAATGGAGTTATTAGTTCCAAACATGGACCAAATCAAGGAGCCAGAGCGGAGTGGAAACTTTGGCCACGTATAGCCTGAGCAGAAGAGGAGCCTTCCAGACTTCAGCCTTTTATAAACACATGTGGGTGTATATTCGCCCCCCACACCTTCTGTGCAAAATTGGTAATGCACTTTATTGCATATTTTTCTCACTTGGCAGATCCTGGGAGATTGTTCCACATCAGTACATGAAGTACATAAAGATTCAGTCATCCATAAATATATATCAAGCCCTATTTTCATCAGCAATTAAAAAAAGGTTTTTGTTTTCCGGACGCCTGCATTCAGCTCCAAGGACCCAATGGCACCAGATGGTACAAGTTCTGCTAGAAATAGCAGGGCCCTGTGATAGTAACTGCTGCATGGATGGATGGTTAGGGAGAGACGAGGCTGGTGGGTGAGCAACTTTACCCAGGTCCTGTGGAGAGGAGAGGACCTTAAGTGTCTTGGGCTGTATTGAGAATACAAAGAAGTGAAGGATTCTAAAGGGAAAAATCACAGACAAGAAGGTAAAGTTTGTAGGAATGCTGTTACCTAGGGCAAATGTCTAATGGCAGATTTTGAGCAGAAACTGGCAAAGAAGCTGTGTTCTGGGCAGAGGGAATGAGCAAACTGGTCCTGAGGATTGTATTGGTGGGTTACTGTGATGCAGCAGCTTTGGTCAACTCCCTAGACCCAGCCAAGTTACTTTAATCACCCTGTTGAATCTTACGCCCGATGGGAAGGTGCCACTCATCCCCATAACACGTAACGACACTACAAAAAGCTTACCGGAGGGCACAGCTTAGAAGGAAAAGCGTGACTATTGAGCTCTATTTTGATAACAGCTTTATTGAGCTACAATTCATGCACCATACAATTCACCTATTCCACATGTACAGTCCAATAAGTTTTAGTATATTCAGAGTTACACAGGCACTGCAATTTTAGAATACTTTCTCCCCCTCCCCAAGCCATTAACACTAACTGTTCCCTGCCCTAGACAACCACTAATTTACTTTGTCTAGTTTTGCCTATTCTGAACATTTCATAGAAATGGAATCCACGATACATCATCTTTTGTGTGTAGATTCTTTAAGTTAGCATAGTGTTTTCAGGGTTTGTGTAGCAGGTGTCAGTGCTTAAAGTGTTTTGTTTTTGTTTTTGTTTTCGCTAAATAATCCATAGTCTGGATATACGGATCACGGTCTTCACAACTTTTTCTTTGGAGGAATACTGAAGATCCGGGTTAGTCAGGGCCCCCATCTACTTACCCTGTGGTGTTAGTTAAACTTTGTTAAATCTCCTGTTGCTTTATCAACCCAGAATATAGAATGAGTCCATGCTGATATAAGTGATTTCAGTAAGTAAATGAAGAAGGTACAAGTTTTCCTTTAAAAGAACTCCAAATATAAATACATACTCCCCCTTCCAGTACGTGGAATCTTAATTTCCCCTCGCTTGAGTGTGGGCTGGGCTTGGTGACTCACATTCCAAAGAATAGAAAGTGGAAGAGGGAAAATGCTAACTGCTCTGGAGAAACCTGTCATAACGCTACTTCAACTAAATTTCTGAGGTTGATACCATGTACTTTGATTTGAGATCAGGAGAGTACTTAACCTCTGATAGCTTTCTAAAAACCCGTTAGAGGACATTCTACAAAATACCAGTACTTAGATGATGAAAAGTCATGAGAAACAGGGATAGAAGACCAGTGGAGATTAAGGAGACATAACTAAATGCAGTGTTCGATCCTGGACCAGAAAGGGCATTAGTGTAAAAACCAGTCCAATCTGAATAAAGCCTGGAGTGCAGTTGGTAATGTACTGATGTTAGTTTCTTGAGTTTTGGCAAGTATGCTAATATGTTAACAGGGAAAACTGAGTGAATGGTATACAGGAAAGTCATAATCTGCAACTTTATGGTAAATTTAAAATTATTCCAAAATAAAATTAGGAAAACAATGGGGGTGCTTTCCTACTATTAGCCTGGTTTCCAAGGTAGGAAGGTGGTGCACAGATCTGGATGAAAATCCTAGGGGGGAGCATCAGACTATGTAACTTAAGGCAAATTAACTGCTCAGCCATTAGTGAAAGTTCCTGTGATAATGGCTACCTCAGAAGGTAATGCAAGAAGTAAGATTAAAGCATTGAGCACAGTTCTGCCGCTAAAGAAGCTGCTATAATCTTAGGCCTGTTCAGTGCTTATGCCAAGCAGCACGTATGACAACTGGCAGGGATCCTGGTGGAAAAATGGTGATGGTTGCTAGAGAATTCTTTTTACTTCTTGTGATGGACTTGCCCTGGTGTTCCCTGGTAACCAGGGGTACAATCGGCCAGGTCTTTGAAAGCAGTTCTTACAGGGTTTTGTTAGCAAGGTGCTATACAAGGAAAGCCAATTTGTGCAGCTCAGGTTGGACTATAGCAGTCTTGGCTACCAAGGTGTGCAGAGCAGGACTAGATGAGCTGTTGCCCACCTGAGACTACAGGCCTTGGAAGGTGAGCCTGCAGCTGCCGGTTGTAACTGCAGGCCTACCCAGGATCCTGGGGATGGTCCCTTCTCTCCTGGCTTCTTTCTCTTATCTGAGCTCCTTCAACAGTCTCTTCTAACAAGTCTCCCTGTCTTTCCACTGGCCCCTGCCTATTCCTAGACCACACTGCAGCTGTGAGACCTATAACTAATTGGGTTATGTCACTCTGGCCATTTTATCACTGCCTCACCCTGTTGCCTTCAGTCAAGAACCCAGTTTCCTCCATGAATCTCCTTGCCATATATCCTTAACCCTCTCACTCTGCCCAAGCCAAACCTAGTTCTTTTCACTTCGCCATTTCTCCATGCCTTCAGTGTTTTGCTTATGTGTCCCCCTTCCCTGCTTGGCTCCTTAAGCGTCAGTTCTCCCCCACTAGGCCTTACACCTTATGCTCATCTGTTTGGATCAGTTATTATCACTAAATTATCTTCCTGGATGCTCCGTGAGGCACTCCACTGAATTTCCATAGCACCCACCCCCCGTCCCTCTGTGGTACCACTGGTCACCCTCTATTCTAATTGTCTATTTTCCCCATTAATTGTGAGCTCTGAGAGGGCAGAGAGTATATCTTGTTTAATGTCTGCTGCCCCAGTCAGACTGCAAAAGTAGGGGCTCAATTAAGATTTGTTTGATGAATCACTGAAAGAGTAGATGAATGGGCTTCTATCTTCCATAGTTCTGCCAACTAGGTACCGTGAAGGGCCTTTCTATATCCTGTATAAATTAAATGTGCGTCACTCTGTGGCCAAAAGATGTAAAGTCCCCAAGGGTGCTACAGAAGTGAGAAAGAAAAAGGGTATCAGGATGAAATGGATTAGGGAGCAGAGAGCTGTAGGCAAAACACCTGGATTTAAGGCTTGGTTTTTCTTTTGTGACTTTACAGAAGACATCTTAGATGTATACTTATTTAATAATTGGCTCCTGTTCTGCTGCTGCCTCCCCTCTCCAAATTTATTGAGCACTCACTGTATACCAGGTGCTATGTTCTAGGTACTAGAAAAGAATGATGGAAAAAAGTTTATGTAGCTTCTACCCTCCTGTGTGGTACGTAGGCTGATGGAAGAGTCAGACTTTAAACAAAATGAGCAGGAGAGCAACTGATTGCATTTTTGGCAAGTGCTAGAAAGCAAATGTGTGGTGTCAGAGATGGAGTTAGTGCTAAAGTATAATTTAAACTGAGATCTAAGTATTTGCCAGGAGTTAGTCCAGTGAAGGAAGGACAAGGGTAGAGTATTCCCATCAGAGACAGCTACAGGGAAAAAGTCTTGTGGAATTGAACTTGGCACATCTTCAGGAAGGAGTAACATGAGGGGTGGTCAGAGAGATAAAGGAGCAAGGTCCTGCTCTGTCTTGAAGGTGCAGTAAGGACTTGGACTACAGTCAGAGGGAGTGCATAAGAGCTTAAAACTTCCCAGAGTAATGACCTGTTGAAATTGGGGTTTTTTATAGGTGACTGCTATGTAGGGAACAAACCAAGTAACTGTTGAAGTGGTCCACTAGAGAGACAGTAGTATCTTGGTCTTGGGTGGGTGGGTGGAGCAGTTATAAATGACAGATCACCAAAAAAAGACGTAGAATCACAGCATGTGGCAGGAAGGAATGGTGCCTTACGTGGGCTGCAGGCACGGCAGGTTACAAACTGATCCATGGGCCAGAAAGCATGCAACAAAAACTGTTAAGTGGACTGTTAAGTCGTCTGGTACTCTTAAAATATTTACTGTCTGGCCTTTCATGGAATGTTTACAGATCTCTAAACTAGATGGTTGTGGGATCTTAGAACCCCAAATGACTTGGCTAAAGACTTTCCTTAGGGTAAACTTCATATTCTAGGACCAAGACCCCTGGACCTGGGGCCCAGTCAGCCCTGAGAGCCCTTGCCCGCTCAGGAATGAAGATAGGACGGATTGGTAAGTGCTCCCCTCTGGCTAGCACTTGGGTTTTCTTTTGAAGCATGAATCCCAGAAAGCATGTGATGTGCCCACTGGATACAGGGCCTGGTCTGAGGACTGTAGGCAGTTAGGGTTTTAATGGAGGCTGCAAGAGGTCCTATGTGACATAAAATCTCTCCTGAACACTCATGTCACTTTGATGTGAACAGTGACCTTCTCTTCTGCATTGGGACAGCACAGTTTTCATTTCTGAATCTGCCCCACACTTCCTGGTGCAGTGGTTGATGAATGATGGAAGATGAATTGTCCTCCCTTTCCACTGTTTTTCAGAGAAGTTACTGTTGGCAATTTGTGTGGCCTGTCTGCTGCATTGTAGGACCTTAAGTATCCTTGGTCCTTGCCTGCTCAGTTTGAGTAGGGCATGCCAATCACTGTGACAACCAAAAATGAATCGAGGGAGTAGGAACTTGGTTGAGAATCATAGTAGTCTGAATAAGTCTACATTTGTGTAGCATCTGTATCTTCATGCCTGTGATCTCCTGGCTCCTTGCAGCTCCTAGGAAGGAGGTGTTAGCCCTTCCCTGTTATTTCTGTGCACGGATTGGCAACATGTACTGATCCCTCAGTTTAATGGTCTAGCTCCAACCCTCTTACGAGTTTTTTTCGGAGTGTTTTTCAACCTATTGAAAGGAGATAGTCTTCACTTGCCCTGTTTTGGAGGGGTTTTCCACCTGAGAGTCAGTGGACAAGGCTTCAGAAACCTACCTGGGCATGTTGCCTGCCTCTGACTTCCAATGCAAGGTGTGTATCTTGGCTGAGCCTCACTTTTCTCATCGGAAAAGGGAGTTCAGAGGACATCAGAAATGTTGAGGAAGCAGATAGGGCAGTTCTGCCTATCCTGAGGACCCATTTGGGGAGCAGGGCAACCCAGTGTCGATTTGTTAGACCACTGGCCTAGGGAGGCCTGGACTCCTTCCAATCCAGCTGTAATCAATGATGATTTTTCTTCCTCCCCACAGAGGATGTCACCCCCATCCCCTCTGATAGTACCCGCAGGAAGGGGGGTCGCCGTGGTCGCCGTCTGTGAACAGGAGTCCTCAGATTACTTTCTGTTAATAAATTGTCTTTGTGTGAGCTATTTCGACTCCAGTTGTGTCTCTCATGTAGGGATCGTGCCTCAGGGATATTTGACTCCTTCCTCCCAGCTGCATTCATGGGACTCACAGGTGCAGTGATAAACCAGCAGGCATTTAATAGATTGCTTCAGAGAATGTAGATAAACTGCTGAACAGGAACACCAGAGGGATTGATTCAGCCCCTGACGTGGACAGGGTGAGCGAGCCTGTCTTCTGTGAAATGACTTTCCAGGAGGAGGAACCTAAGGAGAGGTGAGATGGTGGTGGTCAAGTGGGGTTTTTCCATGCTGCTCTTTGTGGCGTTAAGTTACCTCAGTCATCTAAAACAGAACAAGGTCTTGAAGACCTTATTTTGAAAATGGAGTTATTAGTTCCAAACATGGACCAAATCAAGGAGCCAGAGCGGAGTGGAAACTTTGGCCACGTATAGCCTGAGCAGAAGAGGAGCCTTCCAGACTTCAGCCTTTTATAAACACATGTGGGTGTATATTCGCCCCCCACACCTTCTGTGCAAAATTGGTAATGCACTTTATTGCATATTTTTCTCACTTGGCAGATCCTGGGAGATTGTTCCACATCAGTACATGAAGTACATAAAGATTCAGTCATCCATAAATATATATCAAGCCCTATTTTCATCAGCAATTAAAAAAAGGTTTTTGTTTTCCGGACGCCTGCATTCAGCTCCAAGGACCCAATGGCACCAGATGGTACAAGTTCTGCTAGAAATAGCAGGGCCCTGTGATAGTAACTGCTGCATGGATGGATGGTTAGGGAGAGACGAGGCTGGTGGGTGAGCAACTTTACCCAGGTCCTGTGGAGAGGAGAGGACCTTAAGTGTCTTGGGCTGTATTGAGAATACAAAGAAGTGAAGGATTCTAAAGGGAAAAATCACAGACAAGAAGGTAAAGTTTGTAGGAATGCTGTTACCTAGGGCAAATGTCTAATGGCAGATTTTGAGCAGAAACTGGCAAAGAAGCTGTGTTCTGGGCAGAGGGAATGAGCAAACTGGTCCTGAGGATTGTATTGGTGGGTTACTGTGATGCAGCAGCTTTGGTCAACTCCCTAGACCCAGCCAAGTTACTTTAATCACCCTGTTGAATCTTACGCCCGATGGGAAGGTGCCACTCATCCCCATAACACGTAACGACACTACAAAAAGCTTACCGGAGGGCACAGCTTAGAAGGAAAAGCGTGACTATTGAGCTCTATTTTGATAACAGCTTTATTGAGCTACAATTCATGCACCATACAATTCACCTATTCCACATGTACAGTCCAATAAGTTTTAGTATATTCAGAGTTACACAGGCACTGCAATTTTAGAATACTTTCTCCCCCTCCCCAAGCCATTAACACTAACTGTTCCCTGCCCTAGACAACCACTAATTTACTTTGTCTAGTTTTGCCTATTCTGAACATTTCATAGAAATGGAATCCACGATACATCATCTTTTGTGTGTAGATTCTTTAAGTTAGCATAGTGTTTTCAGGGTTTGTGTAGCAGGTGTCAGTGCTTAAAGTGTTTTGTTTTTGTTTTTGTTTTCGCTAAATAATCCATAGTCTGGATATACGGATCACGGTCTTCACAACTTTTTCTTTGGAGGAATACTGAAGATCCGGGTTAGTCAGGGCCCCCATCTACTTACCCTGTGGTGTTAGTTAAACTTTGTTAAATCTCCTGTTGCTTTATCAACCCAGAATATAGAATGAGTCCATGCTGATATAAGTGATTTCAGTAAGTAAATGAAGAAGGTACAAGTTTTCCTTTAAAAGAACTCCAAATATAAATACATACTCCCCCTTCCAGTACGTGGAATCTTAATTTCCCCTCGCTTGAGTGTGGGCTGGGCTTGGTGACTCACATTCCAAAGAATAGAAAGTGGAAGAGGGAAAATGCTAACTGCTCTGGAGAAACCTGTCATAACGCTACTTCAACTAAATTTCTGAGGTTGATACCATGTACTTTGATTTGAGATCAGGAGAGTACTTAACCTCTGATAGCTTTCTAAAAACCCGTTAGAGGACATTCTACAAAATACCAGTACTTAGATGATGAAAAGTCATGAGAAACAGGGATAGAAGACCAGTGGAGATTAAGGAGACATAACTAAATGCAGTGTTCGATCCTGGACCAGAAAGGGCATTAGTGTAAAAACCAGTCCAATCTGAATAAAGCCTGGAGTGCAGTTGGTAATGTACTGATGTTAGTTTCTTGAGTTTTGGCAAGTATGCTAATATGTTAACAGGGAAAACTGAGTGAATGGTATACAGGAAAGTCATAATCTGCAACTTTATGGTAAATTTAAAATTATTCCAAAATAAAATTAGGAAAACAATGGGGGTGCTTTCCTACTATTAGCCTGGTTTCCAAGGTAGGAAGGTGGTGCACAGATCTGGATGAAAATCCTAGGGGGGAGCATCAGACTATGTAACTTAAGGCAAATTAACTGCTCAGCCATTAGTGAAAGTTCCTGTGATAATGGCTACCTCAGAAGGTAATGCAAGAAGTAAGATTAAAGCATTGAGCACAGTTCTGCCGCTAAAGAAGCTGCTATAATCTTAGGCCTGTTCAGTGCTTATGCCAAGCAGCACGTATGACAACTGGCAGGGATCCTGGTGGAAAAATGGTGATGGTTGCTAGAGAATTCTTTTTACTTCTTGTGATGGACTTGCCCTGGTGTTCCCTGGTAACCAGGGGTACAATCGGCCAGGTCTTTGAAAGCAGTTCTTACAGGGTTTTGTTAGCAAGGTGCTATACAAGGAAAGCCAATTTGTGCAGCTCAGGTTGGACTATAGCAGTCTTGGCTACCAAGGTGTGCAGAGCAGGACTAGATGAGCTGTTGCCCACCTGAGACTACAGGCCTTGGAAGGTGAGCCTGCAGCTGCCGGTTGTAACTGCAGGCCTACCCAGGATCCTGGGGATGGTCCCTTCTCTCCTGGCTTCTTTCTCTTATCTGAGCTCCTTCAACAGTCTCTTCTAACAAGTCTCCCTGTCTTTCCACTGGCCCCTGCCTATTCCTAGACCACACTGCAGCTGTGAGACCTATAACTAATTGGGTTATGTCACTCTGGCCATTTTATCACTGCCTCACCCTGTTGCCTTCAGTCAAGAACCCAGTTTCCTCCATGAATCTCCTTGCCATATATCCTTAACCCTCTCACTCTGCCCAAGCCAAACCTAGTTCTTTTCACTTCGCCATTTCTCCATGCCTTCAGTGTTTTGCTTATGTGTCCCCCTTCCCTGCTTGGCTCCTTAAGCGTCAGTTCTCCCCCACTAGGCCTTACACCTTATGCTCATCTGTTTGGATCAGTTATTATCACTAAATTATCTTCCTGGATGCTCCGTGAGGCACTCCACTGAATTTCCATAGCACCCACCCCCCGTCCCTCTGTGGTACCACTGGTCACCCTCTATTCTAATTGTCTATTTTCCCCATTAATTGTGAGCTCTGAGAGGGCAGAGAGTATATCTTGTTTAATGTCTGCTGCCCCAGTCAGACTGCAAAAGTAGGGGCTCAATTAAGATTTGTTTGATGAATCACTGAAAGAGTAGATGAATGGGCTTCTATCTTCCATAGTTCTGCCAACTAGGTACCGTGAAGGGCCTTTCTATATCCTGTATAAATTAAATGTGCGTCACTCTGGCCAAAAGATGTAAAGTCCCCAAGGGTGCTACAGAAGTGAGAAAGAAAAAGGGTATCAGGATGAAATGGATTAGGGAGCAGAGAGCTGTAGGCAAAAAAGTTGGGGTAGCCCTCAAGGCAAATACTGGAGTCAGTGGCAGGAGGTTTTCCTGCTATCCCAAGATGAGAGAGCTGAACTTGACCTTCACATTAAGCCATAAATCCCCTGGGCTAATGTCCCAGGTAGCAGTGTCCCTGGGCTTTTGGCTGAAGCAAAAGCAAATCCTTTCTGGAGAAATCCATCCATAGCTGGGGCCCTTGGGTTACACAGAGATTAAGTTCAACCAAATATGACTAAAAAAAAAAAAAACATGAAAAAAAGCCATCCAAGTGAGAGCAGAAACAACAGCATTTATATATCCCAAAGACTTAAGATCATAATAAAATTGTCAGGATATAAAATAACTACATATGAAATGTTTAAAGAAATACACAATGGAACAAAGAGTAGGCCAAAAGTATAAAAGTCAGAAGTTTGAAAAGGAACCAAAGAAAATTGGAAATAAAATACATATGATCATCAAAATTATATACTCCATGGATAGATTTGATGGCAGATTAGTCAACGGAAGAATTACTGAACTGCAAAATAAATCTGAAGAAATTACAAAATAAGATTCCAAGAAGATCGAAGCTGAGTACATTCCTGCATGGCTTCCTCCGCATTCTGCCTGAGGTAGAGCGCTAGCCTTGGCAGCTGTTGCTGCTTCCAGTTAGCCTTCATTAACCTGGGTGGGGATGTGGCTCCCTGCCACCCAGGACGGTGCTGTCAAGGCCATTCTCAGTCTCTAATGCAGGATCAGGAAAATCCTTTGCAAAGAACTGACTTCAGAGGAGCATTATTGACTTAGGTGGGTTAAATAACTTGGCCAGTAGGTAGAAGTTGTAGAGAGATAGACTTGAGTATCGAAGGAGTTTTCTAAAAGAACTGCTCCAGAGGGAATAAAATTGCTTTGTGAAATAGTGATCTCCCCATCTTGGAGGCATACAGGTATAAACTAGACCCTCAAAGGCTTGGTATGGCTGAGGCAGTTTTTCCCCAATATGCTTTTTCTTCATCTTCTATTGTAAATAAGAGTCTCAGTTTTTAGCTGGATGCATGGTTGATCAGCATAAAGACTACAGTTCCCAGCCTCCCCCACATAGCTAGGTGTGGCCACATGAGTAAGCTGTGGCCAGTGAGATGTAGCAGAAGTTGTATATGCAATTTACAGGAAGTGTCTTTTGAAATTCTTTTTTAATTAACCTTGGTTACTAACATGCTGTATATTACATCTCCAGGACACATATGTCTTAAAAATACAGGAAGTGTCTTG